TGGCCGGCCGCGCCGGTGGCGCCGGGGCCTTGGCGTCTCCACTTCAGCGAAAATCACGGGGCGGTGTGTCGGAGACGCCGGCCCCCCCCCCGGGGCCGCCGCCCCCGCCGCCTCTGCCGCCCGCAACCTCCAACCTGGGGCTGCCGCCGGGCAAACAACAACGGGAAGAGAAAAGGGCGGCGCTGAGTAAAGTGAGACGCCGGCGGGGCAGAGGGAGGGGCTGCCCTCCAGCACCAAGGACAGCGTGCGCGAGGAAGGAGCGGCGGGGGGAGTGGGAGGAGCTACGGCACCTGGCGCACGAGGGGCCCTCGCGAGGGACCAAAGATGGGGGAGGGGCGCACGAGAACGCGCCAGGCACGTGCGGAGCGCAGGGAGCGATGCTGAAAGGTGCAGCTGAGCTCCGGCTCTCTGGCCTGGGTCCAGCCCCCTCCTGGCCAGAGGCATCGTCTGCTTTGTCCTCCTGGAGCAAACGGGAACCTTCTTTCCGATCCCCATTAGGGCAGAAGCCACCAGTACAGCCATGTCGTCATCATCATCCTTACGCCTTATGTCATGTACCATCCGAACCCAAAGGTGGGAAAGCAGGTGCCCGTCCAAGTGGAGTTAATGCACCACCACCCACTTTAAGGCAGAATTAGCAGGAAGGAGGCAGGCAGAGAGACAGCGCCAGGGCTCAGGGTTGGGTCTGAATGGCACGTGGACATTATTACGTGGACATTCTCAAGAATTCTATATAAAGTAGGGATACTCCTAGTGGGGAGAGTGCATTTTTCAAAACAGAATAGCAACAGTAGGTTCGTTTGGGGTGTGCCACAGGCACTGGCATGAGTAGGACTGTTGTATGCCCTCAATTTACATGTAACACTTTGCAGGTGGTTATACGCCGGCTTCCTCCTAACTTTACTAAGGAGCAGCTAGAGGAACAACTCCATCCACTTCCTGCTCATGATTATTTTGAATTTTGTTCCTCTGATCCCAGGTGAGTATTTGCATAAACCAAGATGGTTGTTTCATGTTTGTATGTTGCTATTAACGTCAGTAGGATGCATTTTAATATAAAATGTTTCTAACACAAAGAATTTATAAAAACGCTCTGTTGCTCAGTAATGACATGTTTAATGTCATGCATTCTGCATAGATGTGATGTGCTGCCGTAATTTTCATGGCGCTAGAACTCAGATCAATGAAATTGAGTTGTGAGAGATTCACGATGGAGCGGGAATCATGTGGGGTTTGGGTGTGCTAGGAATACTCTCTCATGCATGTTTGAGACATTAATATGTTTTTTACCTAACTGAAGATACTGCAAGAATGGACAACATGTGGCCCACTCAGTGTCCTTCATTACTGGCCAGGTTGGCTGGGTTGCAACTAAGTAACATCATATATCATCACTGCTTCCTCTCATGAGGCTATCAGGCTATTTATGGCCATTTCAGAGACTGAAATATAAGTTCTCTAATCTGGATTTCTACTTTTGCAACTTCTTTTAATGGTTCATTGTTCTGTGATATGATGTTGAGTCCCCCAAAAAGCAATTGAAACATTCACATTTGAGAGAAAAGAAAAACAACCTTGTAACATCAAGTAGCACAACTATTCTGCTTACAGGATTCTGGTTGTTTGATTCTGTCATCAAGATGATTGGTGGAGGACCATGATTGTTAGTGCAAAATGAATTCAGTTTTGCCAATCTCCATAGTTTTTCCTATATTACCATAAGCGTATGAAAGTGTGCAAGATTCTGAAAGGCACCAAAAGGAAAAGGAAAAAAAGCAAAACACAGATTTTTTTTCTATCCAGAGATAGAATTTTAAGATGTCCGTTTATTATAGCATTGTATAGCATGATCACCATCATATATCCTGTGTTCACAGACTAGGGTGATATATTGCAGTAAGCCATAGAATGATTTCATTATTTTGGCATACAATATTGTACAAAACCTGCCATTGTGGCTTTAGAGCATGATTCATGACTTAGCATGTTGTACAAACAAGCAGTTGCAATCTATTCAATAAACAAAAGTTAAACAAACCATGCCTTAGCACAATATGTAACTAGGACACCCCGGAGTTCCTTGGGAACCAGTACTGAAAACAAGCTTTAATTTTCATCACTTAATCTATTGCCCATCAACAGAAGGCCACTTAGTCTAACCTGCCTCCATTGTTCCCTAGGCCTTTTTGCTCAGTTTACTCCCAGCCCAAGTAGGAATGAAGTCATAGCAGTTTACAAACCTTGAAGGTAAAGTGCAGAAAAACTATGTTGGTTGAATCATAGCACACTTGCACAGAGGTTAACAGCTATTAAGAGTTCATTAGCCATAGCATTTCTGATGGCCTATCTTTTCATTTAATATATAAATATAACGATTGCTTTCTTTGAGACTTAAATTTC